TATTCTCAGCTGCACATGGGACATTCTCCAAAATAGACCACATATTAGCCAATAAAACATGCTTCACTAAATGCAGAGGAATTGAAATATATCCCATGTATATTATCTGATAATAATGCAATAAAATTAAAAATCAATGGCTACAAAAACTACACAAATACATTGAAATTAAACAACTGCTCCTAAACAACCAGTGGTTGTCACAGGAATTTAAAGAAGAAATGAAATAGTATCAACACCTAACTGATAGAAACTATACAACCAAAAGGATGCAATAAAAGCAGTCTTATGAGGGAAATTGCTAGCAGTGAATTCTCACATCAGGAAAGCAGAGCAGGCTCAAATAAACATCCTAATGTTAAACCTCAAACATCTAGAAAAGGAAAACCAAAACAAACCCAAAGCACGTATAAGGGTGAAAATTATAAAGATAAGAGCAAAAAGTAATTCACTTCAGACTAGGAAAACAATACAAAGAATTAATGAATCAAAGCGAAAATTAAACAAAATTGGTAAATGCTTAGACAATATTATCAAAAAAGGAAAGAAAAGACTCAAATTCAAGTGATTAGAAATAAAAGAAGGAAATCACAATGAATCCTGCAAAAACCCAGGACATCAATATGTACTTTGAGAACTTGTACTCTAATAAGATGGAAAACACAGAAGAAATGGGCAGATTTTTAGACACTTCTTAGTTGCCAAAATTGATTCAAGAAGATATAAAATTTCTAAATAGCCCTATATAAGTTAATAAAATTGAAAATGCAATTACAAACTTACCTACAAAGGAAAACCCAGGTCTTGATGATTCACTGTCACATTCCAAAAAAAATTCAGAGAAGAATTAAAACCACTAATGTTGAAACTACTTAATGAAATTGAGAGGGAAACAATACTGCCAGGATCATTCCTGGAAGCAAGTATTATCCATAACACCATAACCAAAGAAGGACCCAACCGAAAAAGACAACTATAGCCCAATCACTCTAAACAACATAGGTCAAAAATTCATCAAGACACTGGCAAACAGAATGCAGTAAAGCATCAAACAAAATTATATGTCATGTCCAAGTATGATTCAGGTGAAGGATGCAAGGATGGTTCTATATATACACAATTCAATAAATATAATATACCACCTTAACAGACAAAGTTTACATGATCATTTCAATAGATACATAAAAAGCATTTGACAAGGTCAATACTCATTTGAGATAAAAATCCAATGGTAAATTGAAATACATGGTGCTTATCTCAATTGTCAATTTGATAAAAGACATCAGTGATGAAAAACAGCTAATATCATACTACATGATCAGAAACTAAAAACTTTCAGTCTGAAATCAGGAACAAGACAACGATGTTCATGATCATCACTCCTACTATTAAATATAGCTCTGGAAACATAAGCCAGAACAATTAGAAGAGAGAAAGATAAATAATAAGTATAGGAAAGGAAGAATTTAAATTACCATTATTTGCAGAGGACATTATAGTCTACAATGAAGACTCCAAAATCTCCACCATAGTTTCGCAGATATAATAATCAAATTCAGTAGTGTAGCTAGATATAAACTCAACACTCAAAGGTCAAGAGACTTTGTGTACATAAGCACTAAAGTCACTGATAAAAAATTAGGAAAGGCATATGCTTCACAGTAGCATCTTGAAAAATTAAATAATTAGAAATCAATCTAACCAAGGTAGCAAATGACAGTGCTATGAAAAAGATCAAAGATGATATCAGAAAGTCAAAAAATATCATTTGCTCTTGGATAGAAAGAATCAAAATAGTGAAAATGACCATACTTCCAAAATTGTTATTCAGATTTAATGCTATCCTAAATAAAATACCTTTGACACATCTCACAGAACTAAGGACAACATTGCTAAAATTTCTTCAGAAACACAACACATGGAATAGAAAAAGCAATTTTGAGCAACAAAGGCAAGTCAGAGAGCATCATAATCTCTGAGTTGAAATTATACTACCATGCTACTGTGATACAAATCAGCTTGGGCTGGGGCCGGAGAGTTAGCTCAGCGGCATAAGCGCCTGCCTTGCAAGCAGGCAGTCACAAGTTCAATCCTTGGTACCAATAAAAACGAAAAAGACAAAAAAAAAAAAAAAAAAAAATCAGCTTGGTACTGGCAAAACAAAACAAAACAAAACAAAACAAAAAAAAAAAAAAAAAAAAAAAAAAAACAGACCTGAGGATCTGTGGAATGGATTAGAAGATGCAAACACAACTCCAAACAACACACTGAGCTACCTTATCTTTGACAAAGGGGCTAAATGTGTTCACTAGAGGAAAGATAGCCTGTTTAGTAAATGGTGTTAGAAAAACTGAAATTACACAGGATGAAAACTGAATCTGGATACATGTCTATGACCACGCATAAGACTAAAGTAAAAATGGATCAAAGGTCTAGATAGCAAAACAGAAACAGTAAATCTACTGAAAACATAGATAGGAATCTCGAAGACATATGTGTAGGTACAAACTTCATGAAAAAAAACCACATCTCAAAGAAAATACTTAAAAGAATTAACAATTGTGATCTTATCTTAATAAAAAGTTTTTGCACATCAAAAAATCACTGACCCAGTAAAACGGCAACCCACAGGATGTGAAAAAATTTCAGCCAGTTGTCCCTCAGACAAAAGACTGATATCTAAATATATAAAGAAAAACAGATCCCTCAAATTTAAAGACCCAGTCAAAAAATGGGCATCTGAGATAAATATACACTTCTCAGATGAAGAATATAAATGAAATATAAATACATGAAAAAAGTTCCCCATCAATGGCTGTTCAAGAGTTTCATATTGAATAACACCAAGATTCTATTCCTCTCTGGAAAGAATGACTATCATCAAGAAATCAACCAATAACAAATAAAGGGGAAAATGGAACACTTCTTCCCTATTGCTGGGAGTGTAGATTGATGCAAGCACTGTGAAAAGTATGGAAGTTCCATAAAAACTTAGCATAGAGGTATCGTTCAACCCAGCTGTTTCCGTTCTGGATATCTTCCTGGAAGAATGAGAATACCAAACCACAGTGATGTGTGCACCCATGTTTATAGCAGCACAATTTGTACTACCTAGATCCTGGGAAGGATCTAAAAGACCTTCAACCAAGAAACAGATAAAATATAGATGGCATTTGTATTCAATAGACTACTATTCAGTCACAAAGGATAGATTTGAGCATTTTATAGGTAAATGGGTGCAAATTGAGACCGCACTCATAAGTGAAATAAATCAGATTCACATTTGTAAATGTCAAATTGTCTTCCTGATGTGAGAAATGAAATAGTAAATAAAGTACAAAATGCACAAGAGAGATTGTGAAATGGAAGATATTGTTGAAAAGGAAAAAGGGACTAAGTTGAGGGAAAGGAAACAACACACAAGATAGATACATGACTAGTTTCTCTTCATTGAAAAGAAAGGTTTGTGATAATATCATCTGGAGAACTTTTTATGCCTATATCTTGTACTCTGAGTAACTACTTTGTAGATAACAAAATGCAAAGTATTAATTTTTTATTATTCTATTATTCTGTTTTGATATTTTGCCTTATCTTTTTCCTACAAAATAAAAAGAAAATGAAGGAATTGTAGTTTCTCTTATGATTTCCTGATTAACATTTACTTTTCAAAGACAAAGCATAGCTATGAGATATTTATATTTTTATTTATATTTTTCATTTTAAAACTGCCTAAAATATTTACTTGTGTTACTCATTCTGTTTTCAATCACCATTTGAAATTCCTAGATATTTTAGATTTTTATATTTTAAGTCCTCAAATAGAGAACTCTTCATGAGAGATGAGATAAACAGATCAAATATATATATATATATATATATATGCATAAAATTTAGCAAAATTGCATGTTGAAAATATTGTGGTTACCTTAATGTCATTTTAAAATTTTAATATTCATTATATGATATTCTCCACCTTTATTAACAATCAAACCTTGTGGTTGTTAACAAAAACTATAAAAAGATAGCAAGAATAGAGTAATTCTACACCATTTCTACTCAAATGATAAACCCTTCCTTATTTTTCAAAGTCAGTTGAAGTCCTATATTTTTGTGAATAGTGTTAATAGGAATGGAGATAGTGGAAAAAAGTATCCTTATTCACAAAAGTGTCGGTGTCTTCTATTGAGCAAAATAAATAAAATAAAGCTATCAAATGTCTCTTACCAAATCTTGAGCTAGTGCATCTCATATGTGAAAGCATATATGCACAAATGGTGTATTTAACTCAGGTCATTGGATTTGTTTTATCCAAACTGGTTGTGCATCTTTGTTGTTTTTCATATTGAAATTTACTAATTTTCAGATGTGTTTGGCCATGATTTAAAATTCTATCTGGTGCAGTCATACTTTCAGGATTCATTTGGCAGCACCTCTTTTGATTATTAAATTGAAGTGCCTACTACCTGTAATTCTATAAAACATTCAATGTTCTATAGGATGTTTTTGTAAAGACTCAAAACCTTTGTATTGCAAAGACAAGGTAGCTCCTGCCAGATATTTTAATGCTGATGCTGGTCACTCAGTCTGTAATTGGCTCTAGTTAGCTCTCACATCCAGCTGTCACATTCTTTACCTGCATTTGAGAGGCTCTCAAGAGAGCAGAAAAACCCCTCCTATTGAGTATTTGAAAATATCAGTGAATTCCTGCCAATAAGATCATTCTAAATGAGCTACAAACCCATTAGCTCTGATAGGAAATAGGGAAGTGAGTTTTGATCCAGACTAGTTCTAGAAAAATAATAATCAATATCCTATGAAATCATATCCTACTGTGGGAAGTAAAGGCTGTATTTTAAACAAGACTGGACAGGCTGCTTTGGAATTCTGATTTTCCATTTATTCAGCTTACTTTCTTCTTTACATAATAGAGTTTTTGAGTTTCATGAATAAAATGTTCTTTCTTAAATTCAAAACTCTTTTCTTTATTCTGAAAACAGGTTGAAAATAATGGAATAATTTCAGCACTGGATGATTTTCCCACATGAATAAAGACATGGAATCAACACATTCATCCTAATCCCTGTGTGAGAGGCTGAGAGAAGTATTTTTCTTTCCAAAATTTCTGACTGATATGCAAACACATTTCTGATTTCGCCAGTGCCAAAAACCAGTAAAAGAAGAGCATACGAAAGGAAAAGGTGATGTACATTGGGCTCAATTCAAAACAAAAGGAAATAAAACCTGGAAATACATAATTTATTTTGCAGACAATTACATTGATTTCTAAATGACATAGTTTCTAAGACTTTACCTCTGAATATATTTAAAAGGAAAAAAGTATAAACATCATCACAATAATGGTAAATCACTACTAAAATTAGAATTGGAAAGGAACTCTTGAATGAAGGGGGAGCAGATACTGTTATTTAGATTCACAGACAGATGTATGATTCTGCTATCTGTAGCTTTCTCCTCCTTTGGAAGTTTTCACCATAAAAATTCCAAGGTGGAATTCATCACTTTTATACCATTGTAAAATCATTTCTAAATTTATGACTATTATAATTCAAATGAGAGAATTTATTAAATTCAAATTAATCCATCTGTAGGTGAAAACTGAATCTCTAGTAATGTCTTTCTCAAGTATTTATAGAAGAGCATGCAAGTTCATAATAAGGAAACAATTACATTGGATTCAAAGGAAGGTTAGGATTTTAATCTAAATAATGGAATATGGTGTACCAAGCTAGGTATTAATTATGAAATAATGCAAAACCAATTTACCCATAACAGGATTGATGGAAGCCAGAAATACATTATCACCATTCAATTATTGCTTCCTATACAACTTTAGTAGTTCTATCAAACTACTTAATTTGGTACAAACAATTCAGAGGAAAGGCAACATATTTTAGAATCCTGATATTATTCATATCTTGATTATTTTTATTTAGATGAAATATTTAGAGAGATGTAAATCTTTTTAATAGCATTTTAAAATGACTAATGGTTACTTCCTCAAATCCTTAGCTTCTACACTGCTATCCATTGCATTTCTCAGCCCCAGCCCTAGTGGACCAGTCACCCTGTCTTCTCATCTCTAAGAATTGCTGTATTTGGCTGACAAGACTGAGCGCTATAATCATGGCCAGGTTTCAAATGATGCCTCTCTCATGTCAATTTGTGCTATGCAGCATAACACAGGCTGAAAGAATGACTGCTTATAACTCTTCAATGACCTTGGACTTACCCACTCCAATCTATGTATAATTTTTCAAAAATGAATGTGTGAGGACTTTTAGTTTAATCTCTAAATGTAGAAGTTCTTTATATAGAATAGAAAATGTTCCTTATATAGAATAAAATGGAGCATTTCTAGGTACCAAAAGGAAAAAAAAAAAAAAGAAAATGTTCTACAAACTGAAAGTCAATAATTTTTCATGATTCTATGGAAGAATAAAAGTGGTAGGACACCCTGATCCTGAGTATGGAGATGCCAAGGATTCTAGAGAGCTTAGGTTCCAATAACACCATAGCAGTGAGTAAGCCACCAGAAGCAACATATAAATGTGAATCTTGGCCTGCCCTCCCCGCTCAACAATGGACTCCATCTCAGAGGGCAGCTGCTTCCACCCATGCCCACATACCCTGGGACCCTGGACCTCCACCTCAGGAAGCAGCCACCATAAAAGGAGATTAAGATAAAAGAGGACATAACAACACAGATTAGAACAGAACAATTTAAGCAATATAGTGTTTCTCCACAAGATAACCCGACATAACAGTAGTTACCATAGTGTCTCTTTCCTTGAAATATTTGTGTATATCTTTGTATTCTGTAGCATCAAACATAACAAGACAGTGTAAAACTATTCAAGAGAATGAAAGTATTACAGGGTATTTAGAACCAACTAACAGAAAATGAACAATGGTTTTGATATTATCACCTTGTCTATAAAAATTTTTATTTATACTATCACATATAATAAAATACAATAAGATAAAACATGATAAAACCGATGGAGACAGAAGAACAAAAGCTTGATGGAACTTCAAAACAAGATATTAAAACAGCACTACCTATTATAATGTCTTCTTTTCTTCAAAATGGCTGTTTATACCATCACAGACAATAAAATCAAACAACCCACAATAAAACTATTCCAATTAATGAATGCAAACATTATAAGGCTTCAAAGCAATATAATGGGGAATCATGATTACCACATACTTTTGTGTATTCTTGCCATTTCTAACACTAGGGAAACTATTCAGTATTTTTACATGTGAATCTGATTTGTTTCACTTATGAATATGGTCTCAACCTGCATCCATTTATTTATAAATATTTCAATGTGATCATTCTTTATAGCTGAGTAGTACTCCAGTGTATAAAAATACCACATCTTTTTTATCCATTCCGCAGTTGATGGACACTTAGGTTGTTTCCAAGATTTGGCTATTACAAATTGTGCTGCTATAAATATGGGTGCACATATATCACTGTGGAATGATGTTTTCAGTTCTAGGAATATGCCTAGAAGTAGAATAGCTGGAAAAAATGGGGCTTCCAATCTCAGCATTTTGAGAAATCTCCAGACTGACCTCCACAAAGGCTGCACCATTGCTGGATGCTAGATGCACTGATGCTGGACGCACCCAGCAACAGTGCAGGGTAGTTCCTTTTTCCCCACAGCCTCTCCAGCATTTGTTGTTGGTAGTTTTCTTGATCCTGGCCATTATTTCAGGAGTGATATGGAATCTCAGTGTGGGTTTAATTTGCAGAGTAATGATGATGAACCTTTTTTCATGTATTTATTTGCCATTTGTATTTCTTCATCTGAGAGCTACATATTCATCTCAGATGCCCATTTTTGGATTGGATCTTTGAATTTTGAGGGTCTGATTTTTTTAATTCTTTATATGTTTTAGACAGAAGTCCTTTGTCTGAGGGACAGTTCAATAATATTTTTTCCCATATTGTGGGTTTTCTTTTCATTTTTGCTGGAGATTTTTTTTTTTTTTGACATGCAGAAACCTTTTAACATGAGGTGATCTCAGTTACTGATTCTGGGAAATATTTCCCATGCAGTTTGATTCCTGTTCATGAATTCTCTCCCTACCCCTATGTCTCCAAGGTTTTTTGCAATTTGTCATCCAATACATTTAGTGTTTCTGTTTTAATATTCAGATCTTTAATCCATTTAGATTTTAATTTAGTACATGGTGATAGGCATGGGTCTAGTTTTAGTTTTTGTTATGTGGAGAGCCAGTTTTTCCAACATCATTTATTAAAGTGGCTGACATACTTTCAGTGAACTTGTTGGGCCCCTTTATCAAAGATAAGGTGATAGAGTGTGTTTGTAGTTGTGGATGTATCTTCTAATCTATTCCACTGATCTTTGGCTCTGTTTTGATTCCAGTACCATGTTGATTTTACTACAGTTGCTTTGTAGTATAACTTTAAGTCAGGGATTGTGATGCCTCCTGCCTTGTCTTTGCTGCTTAGAACTATCTTTGCTATTCTAGGTCTCTTCTGGGTTCAGATGAATTTTTGGAGTGATTTCTCTAGATCTATGTCGTATGTTGATGGTATTTTTTGTCATATGTTGATGATATGTTGATGGTGTTGGGACTGCATTGAATCTGTATAACAGTTTTGGGAGAATGGCCATTTTCTCAATATTTATTCTTCCGGTCTCATTTTATAAGATACTTTGCAATTTCTTTATTCAGTATATTATAATTTTCCCTATGTAGATCTTTCATAGCTTTTGTGAGAATAATTTCTAAATATTTAATATGTTTGGTTACTAGTGTGAAGGGTGCGGCTTCTCTTATTTCTCTGTTAGTGATTTTATTGTTAGTGTATAGGAATGCTATTGATCTCTAAGTATTGATTTTGTATCCAGCTACATTACTGAATTTATTTATTATATCTAAGAGTCCTTTAATGGAGTTTTGGGGGTTTTCTATGTAGATTATCATGTCATCTGCAAATAATGATAATTTAACTTCCTCTTTTCCTATCTTTACCCCTTTTATTTCTCTTGCTTGTCTAATTTCTCTGTCTAGTATTTCCAGTACTATATTAAATAGTAAGTATTGCCAGTACTATATTAAATGTCCCTTATTAGGGACATCCTTATCTTGTGCCTGATTTTAAGGTAAGAGCATTCAGTTTTTGGCCATTTAGTATGATATTGGCAGTTGGTTTATCAGATATGGCCTTTCTTATACCGAAGTAAAGACCATCTATTTCAATTTTCTGTAAGGCTCTTACCATGAATGAATGTTGGACCTTACCAACAGCTTTTTCTGCATCTTTAGAAATGATTTTGGCTTTATTTATATGGTGGATTACATTTATTGATTACGTATGTTGAACCATCCCTGCATGCCTGGGATAAATCCCACCTGGTCATGATGTATAATATTCATGGTGATTTGCTGCATCCTGTTTGCCAATATTTTATTGAGGATTTTTGCATCTATTTTCATTAGGGAGAGAGATCTGTAGTTCTCTTTTTTATTTGGGTCTTTCCCAGGTTTTGGTAGTGGAGTAATATTTGATTCCAAGAATGACTTAGGAAGGATTGCTTCCCTTTCAATTTCATTGAAAAGTTGAGGAGTGTCGGCATTAAGTTTTCTTTGTACTTGTAGAATTCTACCGTGAATCTGTCTGGGCCTGGGCTCTTCTTGTGGGTAATGACTTAATTACATTTTAAATTTCATTAATAGAAATTGAGTTATTCAGCAGTTTTACATCTTCATGACCTAGCTTTGGTACTTCATATGTTTCTAGGAATCTGTCTATTTCTTCTGTTATCAAGCGTATGAGAGTAGAGGTTTTTGAAATAGGTGTTGATGAAATTCTGTATTTCTACAGAGTCTATAGTGATTTCACCTTTTTCATTTCTTACTGCATTAATTGAGCTATTTCTTCCCTTTTTCAAATAAGGTTGGCTAGGGGCTTATCAATTTTATTTATTCTTTCAAAGAACCAACTCTTTGATTCATTGATTCTTTGGATTATTTTCTTAGTCTCTATTGCATGAATTTCTGCTCTCATTATCATAATTTCCTCTCTTCTTTTGGCTTTGGCCTTGACTTGTTCTTCTCTTTCTAGATGTTTGAGGTGTAACATCAGGTTATTTATTTGTATTCATTCTGTTTTCCTCATCTGGGAAGTCAGTGCAATAAATTGTCCTCTGAGGACAGCTTTCATTGTATCCCACAGATACCTGTAAATTGTATTTGTGTTTTCATTTGCTTGTAGGTATTTTTTTAATTTCCCCTGTGGCCCAATGATTACTCAAGAATGTATTATTCAGTTTCCATGTGTTTGTGGGATTTTTGCAGTATCTTTTATCTTGAAATTTCTAACTGCATGGCACTATGATCCGATAACATGCAAGGGATAATTTCACCTCTTTTGCATTTATTTAAGTATGTTCTGTGAGCTAATATATGGTATATTTTAGAGAATGATCCATGTACTGCTGAGAAGAATGTGTATTCTGATGTTGTTGGATGGAACACTCTGTATATATCTATCAGGTCCATTTGTTCAGAGTGTGATTCAGTTCTGTTATGTCTTTGCTGATTTTCTGTCTGGGTCATCTGTCCCTTGGTGTTAATGGTGTGTTAAGGTCTCCTGTTATAATTGTGTTACTGCTAATTTTGTTTTTCATTTCTGCTAATACTTGTTTTATATAACTGGGTTCTCCAGAATTTGGTGTATATATATTTGAGATTGTTCTATCTTCCTCTTGAAGTTTTCCCTTTACCAGTATGTAATGACCTTCTTTATCTCTTCTGATCATTCTTTTTTTGAAGTTCACATTGTCTGCAAACAGAATAGCTACCCCCACTTTGGGGGGGAGGGTTCCTATTGCAGGAAGTATTGTTTTCCATGCTTTGACTTTCAGTCTGTGAGTATTCTTTTGGGTTATATGGGTTTCTTTTAGACAGCATATTCTTGGAATCTTTTTTTTTTTTTTTTGATCCATTTTTCCAGTCTGTTTTTTTTAATTGGTGCATTGATACTATTTACATAAATGGTTATAACATTTATATGTTAGTTTATTGTTGACATGTTATCTTTCTGCTGCTGCATCTTTATCTTTCTGTTCTGTTTGTCTGCTTTGCTTAGTGACTTTTTCCTAATAGTATCTAAACTCTCTTTCAGTACTCTTTGCAGGGTTGACTTGGTGATCATGAAGTTCTTCAGGTGTTCTTCGTCATGAAAGAATCTTATTTTTCCATCAATTTTGAAGGACATTTTTTTCAGGTTAGTTATCAGTCTAGGTTGGAAATCATTTTCCTTTAGGATCTGAAATACTTCCCTCCATGATCTTCTTGACTTTATTTTTTGTGTTGAGAAGTCTGCTGTGATTCTGATAGGTTTTCCTTTATAGGTGATCTGTCTTTTCTCTCTGACAGCTTTTAATATTCTATTCTTATGTTGAATTTCTGGGATGGTGATTATTATATGTCTGGATGTAGTTTTATTTTGGTTATGGCTATTTGAAGTTCTATATGCTTCACTGATCCTGATGTCAGTTTACAATCTCATGTTTGGGAAATTTTTAGGTATTACTTCTCTAAATATCCTCTTGACATCTTTATCTTGTCCCCTTCTTTTTCATTTATCCGTATCAATCTTATGTTGTTTTTCTTTGGATTATCTTGCAGCTGTTGAATTTTATGTCCTGATTCCTTGTTATTTTTAAAAGATCTTTCCTTTTCTGTTCACTAGGTGCAATCTTTTCTTTGAGGTCTGAAATTCAGTCTTCACTTTCATTGAGACTTTTTTTTTTAACAGCTTGCAATGGAATTTTAGATTTCCTGTATCTCTCTTTGTGTCTGCTTTATGTATTCTGTTTCTTTCTTATATTGTCCTGGAATCCAAGGATACAGGGTTTGTACATTTTTGTTTAGTTCGTCCAGTTTTTAAACTGTGTTTTCTTTAGATATGATCAACATCTCTTTCACTCTTTCATTTCTTTTATCATTTCTTCTCTTACCTGGGAGATTATTTCTAGTTTGAATTCCTTTAAAGCTTCCCGGAGTTACTTCTTTATTTCAGTTGCTATTATTTAAGGTGTATGGCATATATTTTCTTCTATGTACATAGCTCCTAAGATTTCTTGGGATGGGCTGGAGCTTTGATATTGTAATTTTGTCTTTTGTTTTGTCATTTTCCTATATTTCTCTGTTTCAAGTGTTATTCCAAGTTTTCCCCAGGGCCTGTTGAAAATCTTCCTATATATCCTCAGCTTTTGGGACTCTGGTGGCCCAGTTCCTCCTATTGAGAGATGGTCACTGGGGGTAGGATACACAGGCCCCAGCCCTGCATAGCAGGTTGAGTGTGGCAGGAAGCTGTGAAGTTCCTTGGCTGGTGGGAGCAATGATCCCAAACTCTCAGGTTTGGAATGGTGCAGTGAAACTCACCTCAGGCTCCCAGTTTCCAGAATTTAGGGCACAGGCAGGCCCAAATCCCTGGAGTCTACCAAACATGCCAGAAGGCTGGGAAGTTGGTGCAGGCAGGCTCAAGACCTGCTGAGCTGGTCCAGTGCAGCAGGAAGCTGTGAAGTTCCCTGCCCAGGTTGGGAGCTAGGATCTTAAACTCCTGGGGTTCGGGGGATGGTGTGGGGACAGTCACCCCAGGCCACCCTGCTTCCCAGAACTGAGGGCACTGGTAGGCCCAAATCCCCATAGTCCAGCAAGCACTGCAGGAAGCAGGTCCATAAAATATTCTTAAGGTAAATATAAAGGGATTGAAATTATCCCATGCATATTAGCAGACCACAGTGCACTTAAATTTGAAATTAATGGCAAAAGAAATTGCAAAACCTGAAAAAATACATAAAATTTTTTTTTAAAAATCACTTGAACAATCAGTGGGTTTCAGGTGAAATTAAAAAAGAAATTGAGCAATATCTAAAAATTCAATGAAAAAGTAGATACAAATACTGAAACATATGGGATGCAATGAACGTGGTTCTAACAGGGGAGTATATAGCAATAAACTGTCATATCAAGGAAACAGAATGAGCAAAAGTAAATAACATAGTGCTACATCTCAAGCTTCTAGAACGAGAAGAACAAGTCAAACCCAAAGTTTATTAAACAAAGGAAACTATAAACATCAGAGCACAAATTAATGCAAAAAATACAAAGAATAAATGAATCAAAGTGCTGGTTTTTGAGAGAATAAACAGAATTGATAAACCTCTAGCCAAACATAAAGTAAAAGAAAAAAAAAGTCAAATTCATGAAATAAGGACTGAAAGGAGAGAAATTAATACAGATCCCATGGAAATTCAATAGAACATGAGCACCTACTTTGAAAATCTTTATTCACATAAGTTGAAAAAAAAAAAAAAACAGAGGAAATGGACAGATTTCTAGAAATGTATGAACTACCAAAGCTCAATCAAGAAGATATAACAAATATAAATAACCTATTAACAGCTATTGACATTGATAATGTGATTCAAAGCCTACCAAAAACAAACAAAAAAAATTTTTTTTGATGGATTCACGGTCATGATGGTCATGATGGATTCACAGCTGAATTCTACAACAAATTTAGAGAAGGTTTAACACCAATACTCCTCAAACTCTTCAAAGAAATTGAAAGGGAAGCAATGCTTTCTAACTCATTCCTGGAGGAAAGTATTACTCTGATATTGAAATCAGAGAACGACCCAACCAAAAAGGAGAACTATACGCCAACCTCACCAATGAACAGTGATGCAAAGATTCTCAATAAAATACTGGAAAACTGAATGCAGCAAATCAAGAAGATTATACATCATGACTGACTGGGATTTATCCCAGGAATGCATGATGGTTCAACATACACAAATCAATAAATGTAGTATCAACAGAGTCAAAAACTAAAAACACATGATCATCTCAATAAATGCAGAAAAAGCTTTTGATAGACTCCAACATTTATTCATGATAAGGTCCCTACAAAAATTCAGAATAGTTGGTATGTACTAACAGCCAACATTATAATAAATGTAAAAAAACAGAAGTTTTTCACTATAAAATCAGGAACAAGACAAAAATGTCCACTATCACCAATCCTATTCAATATAGTTCTGGAAATATTAAGCAGAGCAATCATACAAGAAGGATAAATAAAATAAATAAAGATAGAAAATGAAGAATTTCAGTTATCACTATTTGCAAATGACATGATACTCTACATAGAACACTCCAAAAATTCCATTAAAAGACCACTAGAGTTAATAAACAAATTCAGAAGTGTAGCTCAATACAAAGTCAACACTCAAAAATCAATAGCATTCCTGTACACAGACAAAAACTCACTGAGAGAAATTATGGAAATATTGCCTTTTTCCATAGCATCTAAAAAAAATGAAATATTTAGGAATCAACATAACGAGGAATGTAAAATACCTATGTGCAGAAAATTATACTCCTCTAAGAAAGGATATTGAAGAAGATATTAGAAAATGGAAGGATATTCCTTGTTCTTCGTTTGGAAGAATCAACATTGTGAAAATGGCCATACTCTCAAAATTGTTACACAGATTTAATGCAATCCCAATCAGAATACCATTAATATACCTTATAGATCTAAAGAAAATATTCCTAAAATTCATTTGGAAAAAGGAGAAAACTAGAATAGCAAAGGCAATTCTGGGCAAAAAGGGCAAGGCAGGAGGAATCTCAATTCTTGTCTTGAAATTATACTACAAAGTGAAAGTGATAAAATCAGAATGGTACTGGCCAAGAAATAGACCTGAGGATCAGTGGAACAAATTAGAAGATGCAAACACAATTACAAAAAAATTCACCCACCTTATATTTGACAAAGGGGCTAACCATGTTCATGGTGTTGGAAAAATTGGCTTTCCACATGCTGAAGACTGAAATAAGACACATGTCTATCACCATGCATTCAACTAAAGTAAGATGAACCAAACATCTAAATATTAAAACAGAAACACAAAATCTACTGGAAGACAAAGTTGTTAGAAATCTTGGTGATGTAAGGGTAGGCAGAGAATTCATGAACACAATGCAAATTGCATTGGAGTTAATTCAAAGAATCAATAAATGGGACCTTATCTTATTAAAATTTTTTTTGCACTTCAAAAGAAATCACCCACAAAGTGAAAAAAAAATGCACATAATGGGAAAGTGAGTACAAAATATTCTTCATACCATATCACCACACATATAAGTCAACAATATTTTAAAAATGAACTACAGTTGAAAACCACAAATTTTCCATGACAAGCAATGGAGAGGAAAAGAAATAAAGACAAGAAAAAGGCAAGGATAGAAACATAAAACAAGAAAGTTAGAAATGTTTGATGGCTTTTTATACATAACTATAATAAATATTAAACACAGTGCTATTCGTAACTATATTCACATAAATCAACTCATTGAAAGTCCATTTACCTTAGTACCTGAAACCTTCACTAACTCTGGGAAAAATAAACCTTTCCTTCTTAATTTTGGGTGTTGGGTATTTTGTCTCAACAATGAAAGAAAAAAAGTAACCAACACAGAATTTGCTACCAAGTGGGGTTGTTGCTGTAACTATACCTTACCATACGGTTCAAGAGCCTTTGGGAATAATTTCTGGGAAGAGTTTGGAAAGACACGGAGATGTCTCCTGAAGCAGTAATACTGGAATCCCCTAGGCTGTTCTATAAGGGAGATTCTTGTCAGAGCTCAGGAGACCAGAAGTTTGTTACAAATCCTGCCAGTAAAAACCAGAGTTGGAAGGTTTCTGCTGAGAAGAAAGACTTCATTGGCTATTGAACTCCAGATGATGGGAATTATGGTGTGATAGAAAATTTGTCTGCAATTGCTCCTGTTCTGAGACTTTGCCTGAGACTAAGATCAAAGATGATGGGCTAGCTAATCTGGCAGAAGAAATTTCAAAGCAGTCAAATGTTAAAATGGTGGTATGATTACTGTTGGGAGCTTTTAGCCAGAACTGTGTTGTGCATTGAGAAGAAAGAGCCCAGCAGGATAATTTAATACTTGCATTTGGCCAGAAAAGAAGCTCCAGTAAAGCTGTGAACTGCAAATATAGAACTGAGAAGATCTCAATTGCTGATGAGTAACAGAAAAAAAAAAAAATAAAGGATGGCCTGAGGTCATCACAAGGAGCAGCAAGTTTGCACTCTTTGTAGCCTCAAAACTGCAAAATTGAAAGACTTTGCTTTGAGGAGAAAGACACAAAGAACCATGTTCCAGAATGGCAGTAGTAGCTGTACCAAGTTTCAGAATGATGGCAACATTGAGAATTTGTCCCTCACAATTGGCTTCAGAGTGCCCACCAGTCTCTTGACTTGCTTTGCTAGTCAAGAGAGATGAAAGCCTGGTTACTGCTCCAACTGATAGCAGACCTCAACATCATCCATGTAGTGCTGGTTTTAAGGCCATGCAGGATGCAAGAGTTCTGAGGTAAAGGTGCTTGCACCTCAATTTCAGAAGGCTTGGGTGCCCAAGAAGAGCACTGCTGGAAGAGCAGTGTGTGACACTGTGAGTGTGAAGTCAAAAGTGCAGTGGAGAACCTAGAAGTATGGAGAACCCCAGAGCATAGATTATCTAAGGAAACTTGCAAGGAAGGAGGAGAGTCAGCCCAAGAGAGAAGCTGTGGGAGCAATAAGCACCAGAAGTGCCATGGGATGGACACACTCAAGCCCTTTGGTGATCACAACCAGATTGTTTCAGTGCTGGACGTGGAACTACAGGACTTAATGTTTTCCCTGGTGGATTTTGGACTTGATTTTGCCCAATCTTTTGTTTCCTCCTATTTGTAACTTTTGTAATGGAAATGATTATCTTGTGTCATTGAATGTTAGACTTACTTAACTTTCTTTCATTTGTATAGGAACTCACAGATAAGAGTTTCCCTTTTATTTCAGTGATTGGTGCTTGGAATTTTTAGCAATGCTGAAAAGGTTAGTACATTGGCAACTCTTAGAGATGGACTAAATGTCTTTTGCATAAAGAATGTGCATGAGTTTCAGGCATCTGGGGTGGAATGTTATAGTTTGTGTCTAGATGCGCCCCCAAAGCCTCATGTAGTCATGGGACCTGGCTTCTTGAATCTGTGAATGATTCATGAGTGCAATGCTGGGATTACAAATATGAGTGCTACAAACAAGTGGGTGTGGCTACATATAACATAAGGGAAAGAAAGAATCTTCTCTGTGTGTTTCCTCCTTTTTGGTTATTTTTTTTGCTGTCTTCCATCACCATGAACTGTTGCACTCTGCCATGAGCCTGCCTTGGACCCAGCAAATTACAGACTGAAATCTCCACACACTGTAAGCTAAATAAATATTTCCTTCCTTAATTTTGGGTGTCTGTTACTTAATCTTAGCAACAAAAGTAAAAAGTAACCAACACAGTACATATCATGTCATTTCTGACATTTAAGTAAACATCATGATGTATGTAAATATGTAAACACACATGCACACATACATACACACAAACACAGTCCAGCAAGACACTGAAAGTAACATCAGAGTCAGATTCACATATAAAATAGATGTTGATATTAGTTTGTGGGGAATTTAAAATAATAATGATTTATGTTAAAGACTCTAATTGAAATCAGAAGACATGGAATGTCATATGTTAATGTAGCATAAGAGATGTAAATAATAAAAAAAGATCAAAAGAAAAAGAATGGAAAAAATCTGAATAGATGAAATAAAATTGTATCAGAGTAGATTATTTGACAGAGAAGAATTCAGTGAACACTAGATGCTTTTACAACAGCTCCCAAAACCATTAGAAAGAGAAATAAAAGTAATGACTGTAAGGAGAGAAAAACGACAAACCAATAAATGGAAAAATCTAGAAATCAGTTACAAGGTTGGTATGACTTACCCTAAAAACACAACTACAGTATAATTAATTCCTTTTTTGTAACAGTAATTAAACTCATGAGTTTGTGATGGCAAGACCAGCAATTATGCAACTGAGATATATCCTCAGTCCTTCATTCTTATGCAAAGTTCAAAGGCTGACTGAAAACTAGAGATTGCATTTAGACAGATCAAAACATCTCCTAAAATTATCAATAAATGCTGATCTACAAATTCGAAAATCTCAGAAATGCCTAGTAATTTCACAACAAACACAACACACATATAGGCACAGAGAGTTACATGTTGTACGAAAAACTACAAAAAAATCAAAGAAAAAGTGAAAAACTTGAGTCAATGGATATGAAATATAAAAGTAATAAGTCAGGAAAGTGTAATTCTACAATGTAAAAGTGAAGAAACAAATGACTACTAACTTATAATTTGGACTATGCAAACTCTATTACTCAAAAATGGAGGAAACTAAAAACTTACTCTGAAAAACTAAATCTGCAAGGATATATCACCAACCAAAGTTACTTGAAAATAATGCAAACTAAGAAAAAGTTATTCAAAATTTTAGATAGGTTAAAAACCTGGATGCATATGAAGAAAAGAAGAACATCAAAGAAGGAATAGAGGGAAGTAAAATAAAATATTAATTTTAACTGATCTAAATAACCATAAAAACATAAATAATAATCTACTTAGTAATTATAGACTGGATAATTAAATTAATCACAACAATCTCATATGCAAAAAAAGAGAATAAGTAATACTGTGTTATGAGATAAGATTACTAACAAGGTAATTGTAATTCGAAGGTAGATTTATATTATTTTTAAAAGTGTATTGTAAACTCTAGTATATTGAAATACACAAAGAAATTTTTACAGAAATATAAATAATGTGCCTCAGTAGAAAAGAAAATAAATCTTATGAAATGGATAATTAAAATCAAAAGAAATACATAAAGAAGCAAATGAAAGGTAAATATATCAATAATCACTTAGAAAGTAAATGGATTATGTACAGCAATTAAAGATGAGTTTGCCAAACTGAATATTTTAAATAAAAGAACTCAGTTTATATACAAGAAACATAGATTAATAAGAATATATATTCAAATAGGCATAATAAAGGGTTGCTGAAAGAGATGTCATACTAAATCTACTAAAAGGGAGTTGGAGTAGCTGCAAGAATTTGAGACAAGGGGTTTTCAAAATTTATAGGTCATATAGGAAGATGATGCAGAATTACCTAAGCAGTATTTTCAATCAATACATTCTGATAGTTAATACTTCATCTAGCAATATCAGGATGTGTGCTTTCTAAAGCACACATGTAACACTCATATGATAGATAAAAGTTGGAACCATAAAATAAAATCCTTCTATAACATCAAAATATAGAACTAGTGCAAGAT